ATTTTAGTGCATTAAAATCTTTTAATAACTTTAGATCGCAGATAATAACTTTATTAACAAAAATTTATTTTTCAGTTTTAAGTCGTAATATACAAATATTTTGCTAGAACGACCGCTGTAATAGAAGTTTAGGAAAATTTGTTGGAGAACCACCTGTTTGCTCGCTAATGCCGACAGTGACGTCTAAAACCAAATTCACAGACTGTGATTGCGCTGTCAAAGTTTTACCAGAAATCGCTGACGATATTGCTCGCTCAGACTTTGTTCAAGTAATTCTATGTCTAAATCAATGTCATTGTTTTTCTAGAATTTATTTCTTATATCATCTAACACTAACGAATGAAATGTACTCAAAGTTTTCTCGTGAATTATTTACAATTTTAGGGGAAGTTTTATCACAGTATCGTGACATTTTTGAGAGTATTCTTTGTTTTTTTCTGGATATACATTTTCGTTTTTTAAAAAGATGTTTAGGAAATAAATTTCATGAAAACACTGCAGTACCATTCACACTTGGTCAGCATGCTTGGTTGGGCAGAAGAAAATGGTATTCCGATGCTTCTAGTCGAATACTGTAAGCAGGGCGACTTGCTACATTTGCTGCGTTCAAAAAAGGATGAAATTATTAAGGTATTCCAAATCTTACAAATAGCTCAAGTGTTTTATAAAGGTATTTACAAACTTTTACTAGTTTTGATCAGCTACTATCTTCAGTGTTTTGCCAGGCTTACCTTTTTAGCCAAAAATTGACATTTAAGGGATATGAAAATAACGGACTACTAAAAATTCGAGATCTTGTTTCGTTTGGTTGGCAAATCAGTAATGGCTTAGTAAGTATCACTAAACCACCGTTTCAAGTGTTTTGTATTTATAATAATAATGTCATCCCTCTTAAAACCATAATTTGTCTTATCAGGAATATAGTCAGCTGAACAATAAAAAATGCCTTTTTTAGGAATATCTTAGCGGTGTTGGGTGTATTCACCGAGATGTAGCCGCACGTAATGTACTTGTCGACGAGTTCAATGTTGCAAAAGTAAAAAAAAGTTTACTATTTTATTCACAATTTTTTTGTTAAAAGCTTTTTGGGGTTGTTTTTGAAATTTAAAAAAATTAAAATAACTGGTCCAGATAAGTGATTTTGGTCTTTGTCGGCTAACCGACTGTCTTCTATACACTGGTCGTGGTGGGCGACTGCCGCTGAAATGGATGGCTCCAGAATCTCTGGAGTCGTTCGAGTATACTCCAAAATCAGATGTGTAAGTAGAATTTAAAAATTTATTTTAAACGTTGCAAATAAGGAGAGTTGTTGTAAAACGTTTACAAAACAGCAGAAAATTTATGTTTTATTTTTTTAACAGTTGTCGAGTCTAACAGGTTGAAGCGCGTAAAGAAAAAGCATTTATTGAAACATTCAACTCCGGTCTAAAAATTTTGCTGTTATTGACTTGTTTTAGCAAAAATTAGTTTCAATTAAAAAAACCTATAACATCTATTTATTCATTTCTGTATAAGTTTAAACTTCTTTTTTAAAGATGGTCATACGGTGTTCTACTGTATGAAATATTTTCTTTTGGTGAAGTACCTTACACGCTAGTGGAGACCTCAGAACTTCTAGCATTTTTAAAATCCGGGAAGCGCCTGACTCGACCAGCAAACTGCCCACAGGAAATGTAAAAATTTTATAAAAATTTATATTCCTCAAAAAAAAAAAAATAAACCTACTTTTATTTTTACTTT